GTGTGTGTGTGTTTGTGTGCGTGTGGAAGTAGTAATGGTGTAAAGTTAGTATTTGAATAAATGAATAAGTATTAAACTTTTTTCAAATAATTCTTTTCACTATTCTCCGATTATGTTATTTTAAATACTTCATTTTTATATTCATTTTTTTAAAAAAAGTATTTTCATTTTTTAAATTTAACTTTTTAAAATTTTTCCTTTATTTGAATAAATGAATATTAACTTTTTTCATATAAGTGTATTCAACGTTCTTTGTTTAATTCAAAAGTTATGGTTTTATTAAATAGCATTAAAATGTATATCCTTTAAAAATTTTGCTGCGGGTACCGTGATATTTTCATTTACTTCTAGGTATCCCGTTGCTTAAAGATATTGAGAAAACACTGGTGTAAAGAAGAGGACGCACGGCGTAGTTGCTGGCTTGATTTCTGCGCATGCGTAGATACAACACTTTCTTTTTTTTCCCCCCGATTTTTTTTTTTTTTTTTGATTTGTTTCGTTTGTAACTTCTTGAATGGATTGCTTGATTCCAGATCTTCGTTCTTTGAAATCCAGAAATGTTCACGAGACGTATCCGGCGGTGGTTTTTAACCAAATTTAAATTTTTGTTCTTCTTGTTCTTGTCCACGTTCCTTCTTCTTTTTGTTCTTTTTGTTGTTGTTGTTGCTGTTGTTGTTGTTGTTCTTGTTCTTCCTCTTGTTCTTTTTGTTCTTGTTCTTCCTTGTTATTCTTCTTCTTTTGTTGTTCTTGTTCTTGTTGTTCTTGTTATTGTTTTTCTTGTTGTTGTTCTTCTTGTCCTTGTTCTTGTTCTTTTTGTTCTTGTTCTTGTTGTCCTTGTTATTCTTCTTCTTTTTGTTCTTGTTCTTGTTGTCCTTGTTATTGTTTTTCTTGTTATTCTTCTTCTTTTTGTTCTTGTTCTTGTTGTTCTTGTTATTGTTTTTCTTGTTGTTCTTCTTCTTCTTGTCCTTGTTCTTGTTCTTGTTGTCCTTGTTATTGTTCTTCTTGTTCTTCTTCTTCTTTTTGTTCTTGTTCTTGTTGTCCTTGTTATTCTTCTTCTTTTTGTTCTTGTTCTTGTTGTTCTTGTTATTGTTTGTCTTGTTCTTCTTCTTCTTTTTGTTCTTGTTCTTGTTGTTCTTGTTATTGTTTTTCTTGTTGTTCTTCTTCTTCTTGTCCTTGTTATTGTTCTTTTTGTTCTTGTTCTTGTTGTCCTTGTTATTCTTCTTCTTTTTGTTCTTGTTCTTGTTGTTCTTGTTCTTGTTGTCCTTGTTATTGTTCTTCTTGTTCTTCTTCTTCTTTTTGTTCTTGTTCTTGTTGTCCTTGTTATTCTTCTTCTTTTTGTTCTTGTTCTTGTTGTTCTTGTTATTGTTTTTCTTGTTGTTCTTCTTCTTCTTGTCCTTGTTCTTGTTCTTTTTGTTCTTGTTCTTGTTCTTGTTATTCTTCTTCTTTTTGTTCTTGTTCTTGTCCTTGTTATTCTTCTTCTTTTTTGTTCTTGTTCTTGTTGTTCTTGTTATTGTTTTTTCTTGTTGTTGTTCTTCTTGTCCTTGTTCTTGTTCTTGTTGTCCTTGTTATTGTTCTTCTTGTTCTTCTTCTTCTTTTTGTTCTTTTGTTGTCCTTGTTATTCTTCTTCTTTTTGTTCTTGTTCTTGTTGTCCTTGTTCTTGTTGTCCTTGTTATTCTTCTTCTTTTTGTTCTTTTCTTGTTGTCCTTGTTATTGTTTTTCTTGTTCTTCTTCTTCTTCTTGTTGTCCTTGTTCTTCCTCTTGTTCTTTTTGTTCTTGTTCGTGTTGTTCTTGTTCGTGTTGTCCTTGTTCTTGTTCTTCTCGCTATTTTTTGTTCTTGTTCTTGTTGTTCTTTTTGTTGTTGTTCTTCTTCTTCTTCTTCTTCGTCCTGTTCTTGTTCTTCTTGTTCTTTGCTCTTGTTCTTCTTGTTCTCGCTCTCTTTTCTATATACTGTGTAGACGATCATAGCTCGCCACAATTCCCTGTCGTTTGTAGCTTTTAATAAATTTTGTCTTTTTATCACCTCTCCTAAAGCTTGTTCCGACATCCATTCATTCAAGTTCACAAGGTAGGTTACGCGTTGCCTTCCTCTATCCCTCTTTTCTTCAATATGTCCTGTGAGTATCAAATTCTCCAAGCCCACTTTCCTAATGGCAACGTTATGTGGTGACAGTCTTTTGACATTTCTTTTATACAAATATTACTTTTTCTCAACGATAACTTTATAAAGTATTCCTAGATTCTTTTCTTTTTCATATGGGCTGGGAAAAGGGTATCCAGTGTCTATGTAGTGATGCAAAAGGCAATTACCTTTGGTTGCGATGAGGTTACGTGGGTCGCATGCAGGCCGGTGAGTGACGGCAGTTTACAGTGTGATGAGAGCGGCCAGTCTGGAGTCAAGACAATGCCTGGAGGCTGTCATGTGGGCGGCACACAAGTCCATAGTGTCGATTTTTGGAAACACGTCCTTACCAGAAACGTAGAAGATAACCCCGCCCCTTTCGAATTTCTTTTGGGGAATATAAATATGGCCGAACAACATGACCTCGCCGATAAATATGGCTCTTCCAGAAACATAGAAGAATCCATCGGTAGCTCGAATTCCTGTTTGTGAATTATACCAAGTAAGACCCTATGTATCTTCTCCATTTTGTTTGTTGTTGTATACATGTATTATAGTTTCTCTATATGGAACAAGTATAAATATTTGTATATAATTTTGTGGATAACTTAACAGTACAGAAATCTCTTTGAGAATAAAGCAGATTTGTCATTCCTTTTTTTCAGCAATTCGGTTCCATCCGTGTATTAATGTGTTGCTACAGCATGGATATCATAATTCCTAGAATGGATAAATACAAACGGGAAATATTCCTTTCTTGTATAGCACCCCCATTATCTAAATGAATAAAACGCTTAAAAGTAAAAACTCACATCACCTATACATAAGTAGCATTTGACTCCCCTTAGGGATACGGATACATCAAGCTAGATGTTACTGTTGTAGTTTCATTTTTAATATTAGAATTCATAAAATATAAGGCGCGAGTGTCACGAAGGTAGAGGATTACTATTAAAAGAATAATGATAAATGAGGTGTGTAATAAGAATGAAAGTGGAGGTGGTCGGAAGTGGAAATTATCAGGATATGGAGGATAAATAAGAATTGATCTTTGATTTGAATTGTAATGTAGAGAGTTACTGTTAAAATGGTTATGATCAATGTATTGATTGATATGAATGGAAGAGGAATGGTAGGAAATGACGATCAGGAGGATAGGTAACAATTGACCTTTTATTTGATGGTTTAATTTGACAACATCAGTTGCAATTGCGACGAACAGCGGAGTTAAAGTTAAACCTTTTTTATAGAGTAATTTTCACAGAGGAGGCTTGTATTTCGCTAAGTCGGTTCTAAATTAGGTTCGACGTACAAAACGTTAGGAACTTGAAATAATAGATAATGACGCAGCAATCTAGTTGTGGGGCGCATACTTTAATGTCCGACATCGACTGACTCACACAACTCACTGAGCTCCACTGGCGACTGCTACTACTACTACTACTACTACTTATTATCTGTGGGAGAGTCTATTTACAATAGAAATAGGTACGTTCTGGTATAGCAACCTTTAATAAAGAATTGTTCGTTAAACCTTTCACTCTGCTCGATAGTTAACCCGTTACCTGTCATGAGCGCCATTTGAGGATCTGTTAAAATTAAATCCACTACATCTTATTCCTTGTATTTACATTGAATTACTTACATACATTGCATTTACAGAGGTATATTTTGCTTAGCCTTTAAAGTTTTTATTATTAGCCGTATCTAATCATAGAAGACACTTTCTGTCGTAATTTTACATTTCACGAGTAGAAAAATAATGACTATTTTGAAAAGTATTTTTTATTATTTCTAATCAATATTATTTTTTAATGTTTTATACACATATATATTTGATGTTCTAATTTCTATAAAGTTTGAAAGTACCAGCTATTCGAAGAAAATTTTAATATTGTATGTTGTTTTAACTCCTAAGACACCTGTCTGGGCGAAAAATGCGAATTAAAAAAATGGCAGTTAATGGGTTAAATTTAACTTCAAATGAGTTATTTAATTAATTTTTAATCGCGTGTAACTACAGTAGTTACTATCTGTTACTTCAAATTGTTTATGATTCTCCGAGATCGAAAAACGGACGGACACACGTTCACTGCGCTTTATTTATATAGAAATGGAGTGGTTTCCTGCGGTTTCGAATTGTCCTTCTAGACGAGTTGTCAACCAAAGTTATAAAGCCCAATCTGCTCTGTCAAACTGAAAGAGCAGATTGGGCTTTATGAGGATGCCATAGCTATAGGAAGTAGCCATGCCTTCTCCAAGGGCATTTGAGCGAGTTTCATTTTTCTCGGTGTTAACTGCACCTACACTACTCATGATAAAAACACACGCACGGCAAAGATATTTCTTTTGGTTGTTAAACTGATTTTCTTTTGTAATTTTTAAGCATTTCCTTTTCCCAGTCTGTGCCTACTTCTCAGAAGAAAAAGTTAATGTTTGCTGTCCAGTGCTATTGGAATCTGAGCTGTGTAGAACAGTTAATATCAAACATATTGCTGTGCCAAAAACTAGATTGGACGAATCAGATTCCAGTAAGATATGAAACATTATATGAAAGTCTATAAATGAATGATAGTGATACTGTGGTTTCGGTTAGAAGCAGCGTGAATCTGCAACATTTTTTTTTTATGAAGACAAGAAATCAAGTAAAGAGGAAGTGGGTGCGGTGGATTCTATGCAAATGCGTGCCTAGCAACATCCCGTATATCAGACTGCTTGTAAGAAAAGACCCTCGTGGAAGGACAGATTTGTCTGCATGTGGACGTCTTTGTGAATGTATAGACGTCATATCGATCAATGTGATATACGCAGGAGAGTTATATTGGCAAGGGAGAGAGAGAGAGAGAGAGAAATCAATGATAATCATAGGGAAAGTTTAATGTTAATTGAAGAAGAAGAAAAAGAAAATGAAAAAGAAGACGAAAAAGAAAATGAAAAAGAAGACGAAAAAGAAAAAGACTAAAAAGAAGACGACGACGAAAAGAAGAAGGAAAAGAAGACGAAAAAGAAGAAGACGGAGAAAAAGAAGACGAAAAAGAAGAAAAAGAATACGAAGAGGAACAAGAAGAAGAAGAAGAAAAGAAAACGAAAAAGAAGAAGAGATAGAAGAAGAAGAAGAAGAAGAAGAAGAAGAAGATGATGAAAAAGATGACGACGACGAAAAGAAGAAGAAAAAGAAAACGAAAAAGAAGAAGACGGAGAATAAGAAAAAGAAAAAAGAAGACGAAAAAGAAAAAAGAAGACGAAGAGGAACAAGAAGAAGAAGAAGAAAACGAAAACGAAAAAGAGATAGAAAAAGAAGAAGAAGAAGAAGAAGAAAAAGAATGATACGAAAAAGAAGACGAAGAAAAAGAAGACGACGAAGACGAAAAAGAAAAACATAAAAGAAGCCGAAAAAGAAGGAAAAGAAGAAGAAAAAGAAGACGAAGAAGAAGACAAAGAAGACGAAGAGGAACAACAAGAAGAAGAAGAAAACGAAAACGAAAAAGAGATAGAAAAAGAAGAAGAAGAAAAAAAAGAATGATACGAAAAAGAAGACGAGGTAAAGGAAGACGACGAAGACGAAAAAGAAAAAGATTAAAGAAGCCGAAAAAGAAGAAAAAAAGAAGAAAAGAAGACGAAGAAGAAGAGATAGAAGACGAAGAGGAACAAGAAGAAGAAGAAGAAGAAAACGAAAAAGAGATAGAAAAAGAAGACGAAGAAGAAGAAGAAGAAGAAGAAGAAGAAAAAGAAGACGAAAAACAAGGAGACGAAAAAGAAGAAAAAGTATAAGACGAAAAAGAAGAAAACGAAGAATAAGAATAAGAAAAAGAAAAGAAGAAGAAGAAGAAGAGGTAGAAGAAGAAGAACTCATTCAGGTCGCGTATTATGAGCTTTACTCGTATATGCGAAAGAAACAATCACCATAAACGAATTTTGTTTATAAAGATCTTGAATATTTAGAAAAACAGATTCTTTCAATTCCACTGACGTTCGTCAAAAATCTCAATTAAAAAAAATAATGAATAAAAGGAAAAAAAATAAATGAAGCTCTAATTTAGATTTAATTTAATGCTAATTAAATTAAGCACATACAGACACACACAAACTGGCAGCGCACACACCTGCCCATACATACATGAATACACAAACGCACTCATTTACACACGCACATGTCACGAATACAAACGTATACATAAACCCACATATGCAAATATACCATATGCATGCACACGCGTAAACATACACAGGAGCACGCATGCAACTACACACGATTATACTCTTACACATACACAGTGATATACGCACACACAAACATACACAGTCACATACACACAAATACACACATACGTGCTCACATAAACGTACACGCGCTATAACACAAACATCTACACAGACACATATGCACACAAGCTCACACCCGTACACACGCATACATATACACACACACATGCGAATACAAACATGCACATACATATGTACCTCAACTACACCCACTTACACTATCACACACACATACACTCATATCTTCGACATGGTGTAATGGTTAGCAAGCTTGTCTCGATAGATGATTTTTTAATCTGTTTACCTCAAGTAAGGCGGGAGTGCCACTAGTACGCAGGGGGGGGGGGTACAGAGAATGAAATTAAAAGAAATGACTGGATACAGAGGGGATTGAGGAAAGGATAAGAAGAAGACTGACATTACATATAAATTTCTGATTCTAATTATCATGGAAGCAACTAAGAGGAAGGGAGTTTCTCTGTCGGGAAGTGCGAGAGTAGCTGTTGGAGTAGAAGAGGCGATTACATTTAACTGTTTCAACAGTAAAAGGTTGGGACCGAGATGCCAACCTAGTAGCCCGCTTAAATTCATGCAGTCGGGGCACCAGTGAAAATCACTCATCAGAGCAGATGCCACGATAATATTTATAGGAAAGACAGAGGGGAAGCCACATTACGTCTGTGAGAAAGTGACTGGAGTCGAGATGCCAAGTCAGGACCGTTCACATTGCATATCAGTCTTTGGATTTTGCTGACAACCCCGAGGTGAACAGAGGGGGCAGCAGACCATATATGGCAACAATATTCAATGCACGGACGAATGGTAGATTTGTAGATGTGAATGATGGACTCAAACGAGAAAAAAACCTTACTACTTGAGTAGTGAGTTCAATACTCACTCAGTGTTCTATAATTTTGCCCTTGTGCCGCACATAAGCTACGCTTAATAAATCACACAATGCACGCACACAGGCGCATGTGCACGCATAAAGACACATATGCGAATACGCACTTACATTCCCACACACACACATACAGACATACTCGCTCAAACGCATAGGCTTGGATGCACACAAACACAAATACATACACTCAGGCGCTTATAAACACACGTACACAGCCGCATCTTTTTATCAATTTGGCGGAAATTCATCGAAAACACCTGTAAATTATTATCTAGTGACAAACGAAAACAAATTCCATTTATACAAAACTGGATGCGCATATTTTGAATATATATTTTTTACTTGTTAATTCATATATAATACAGTAGAACCACATTATTCACGGTAGATAGATTTCCGCGCGGATAACAGCGAACCATGACGTTATGTTCAAAATTTTTCACAGGCTAATATTCGGATAATATTTTAGGCATTTTTAAGGTGTGTGGGGGGTAACTTTCCGGGTGTAATGAGGATTAATAATATATTTTTTGTTTTATTTACTGTGTTAAGAGGCAATTTTTTGTAATCGTAATCTCCATCTTAGTGGAGTTTTTGTTAGTTTCCGAACACGGCCATAAAGTACGTACGCTGTGCTGCTAAAGAAAATTTCGCCTGTTAGGCTTCACCATCCATTATTTCTTTTTTAGTAATGAGTAACGACAGTTTTGGTAAAGTATAAGATTTCATCCTTTTAAACAAACACAAATGCATACACATGCAACTCATTTTTTCGTCTTCGATTTGGTGAAGCCAAATAGGCAAAATGCATAATCGGATGTTTTTTCAAAACATACTTTCATTTCCAAATGTCAGTAATATAAAAGGTATTGGGAAAGGTATTAATCCTATTCTTCTCCCTCCAGCTATGGGTAAATAGTAGTACAGACTGGGTTCTATAGCCTTGGATGACAACTGGTCAAGGAGAAGGACAACTCTGAATTCAAAACCTGTGGAGGGTTGTTTGGGGACCTTGTGGCACGTTGGGCACCAGGTGTCTGTATTCGTCCCTTCAAAAAGTGTGGATGGTCCTGCACGAGGCCTTCACCACTATAATCAAATCATATGTGCTGGTGTCTGGGCTGTCGGTTCCTAGGAACTGAGCTGCTTGAGCCTCATACGTCGAATATGACGGGAGAGTCCAGCATATGTATATATATATGTTACTATATTGCACACATGTGGCTGTGGATCATGTATCTACGACCCTTTTATCAGACTGAAGGTCAGGATGGGTCTATTACATTTCGTATATTTGTACCCCAGCGTCACTTTGTGGGCTTGATGCCTTCTCACACAATAAAAAGAAAACAAGTAAAAAAAGAAAGACAAAGAAAAGAAGCAGAAGAAAAGAAAAAAGATGAAAAAATAGAAGAAAAAGACAAAGAAAAATAAAGAAACATTATGAAAAAAAAGAAGAAAAATAAAAGAAAAGGAACCAGATGAAAAGAAAAGAAGAAAACAGATGAAAAAAAATAGAAGAAAAAGACAAAGAAAAAAAAGAAACGTTATGAAAAGAAGAAGAAAAATAAAACAAAAAGAAGCAGATGTAAAGAAAAAGACAAAAAAAGAATAAATTGTGTTAAACAAAAAGTAGGTAATTTGTTCGATGATTTTCTAATATATTAATCCTTATTGGATAATTTAATTCCGAACAGTGTACGGGTCCCCGACTGAAGATCAAAATCGCTATTCAGTAGTAATGAATAACCATACTAGCCTCGTTAACCATTAAACCAACAGATGACCAAAGGAAGCGAACAACCCTCAGCGGGTACGTACAAGCTACATCTTACGTCTCTGGGTGAAATAGGAGAAACAGAGAGTGACAGAATATCACTACCTATTTATAGGCTTAGAGAACTTCCCCTAGCGGCAATTTTTTTAAGGAAAGTAAGCGGAGTAACCCCAGAGACCTGCATTCATACGTATGATTGCTATTACAATATTTATTTAAAGTTGTTAAGCTCAAATATTTAATGACGCGGCATGGAAATTTTCACGATAATTTTATAGCCGTGGAACTGGCAAATATCTTATTCAATCATTAACTTTAGAATTATTTACTGATCAGAAAATTCAAATAGCCAAACCGTGAAATTTCCACGGGCGTTTTCAGTTAAATATTATGGGTAAATTTTCATGCACACAAGGGAGACAACTCGTCAAGTACTGCTTGAGATGGAGTTAGAATCAACAGAGGAAATAATTCGTCTGAAACACAGTCCGTGTAAATGAAAAGAGTAAATATAGAAAGCTTAGTTGTTCCAGAAGGAGAAAAAAAAGATACAACGTACAAATGGAAGTCAGTCGAGATGGGGGTTGAGAAGAGAAACGAAACCACGCAGGCCGTTGTAGAGTCTTTCTGCTATTTTGGGAGGCTACTTTTAGAAAGTTGATGTTAAAGAAGCGGCGCCACTTGTCGGGTAACATTTTATGACCAAGTGGATATGGGTGGGCTTGAAGATGTATAGGCTAAAGCAGAAAAAGAAAACTATATTTTTTTTTTTATGTGTGAGATGAGGTTAACTCTGCCAGTATGTATTTTTTATAAAAATAGATACCCCAAAAAAGAAAAAAAAAGAAGAAGAAGCGATAACTAAGGTTTAAAATACTTTTAAAAAAATGAAAAAATCTTTCTTGAAGCTTTTATTTTAGTTTTAATTCCAAGCTAATAGATTAAATTTAATGTTTCCAATGTGCAAAATACCTTGCTGTGTTTCAAACCGAATTTGTGTTAATTGGAATGATTTATTTTAAATTGCTAAAATCGGCAATATTTACAAATCTGTCAACACAACATAATTCTCTTTATTAAAAATCTTTCAAAAATAAAATATACTTTTCTGAAACATTATTTGAGAAAGATTAACCGATATAAATTTTAATTAATCTGAATTAAAACAAATATAATTTTTAGTTTAAAATATCGCAGAAAAGCATTTTTTTTAGCACAAAGGTAATTGTTTTTATGAGGTGTTGACACATTTATCGATAATCTGAGAATTGTGAAACTTAGATAAGAAGAAAATAATTTTTTAGCTGCCCAATAATCTTTAAAAATTTAAATATTTTAAACATTTTAATATTTTATTGAATTTTGGGTACTTTGACTTTATAGTCTTACTTAAAAAGACGCTTGTTGAAGAAATATTAGAAAATTACCAATAAATTTTAAATTTACGATAGTTAACGCTCTTATTTTCTGATAATGTTGTGTATGGACATCCGTATTTACAAAATTCGGCACGTGTAGACACACGCAAAAATACTGGGGGTCGTTGAATTGTAGTAAGCTTTACCATTTATGATTAGTAAATATAGTTTTTACTTAATAATAATATCACCTCACCACTACAAATTAATACAGGATTTTAAATGATTTAAAACTTTATAAATTATTAGGATTAAAATAAAAAATACAAACAATTCCTGTAAAAAGTCATTATTCATTTTCTGAAGACAATACTGTCCAAAACATAATCTTATTAAACAATTAAAATATATCTTATTAAGCAATTAAGAATAATTAAAATATATCTTATTAAGGAATTAAAAGCTTTTCTAGTCAAATAATGTCATAGGTTATGTCATTTTTTATTTTAAGAAAATGTGATATTTCCTGCTTTAAATCTTTATAACTTTCC